TCTCAGCGAGAACCTGTGCCAGCTACAAGGCACGAGCACATGGCCACATCAAAGCCAAATGTTTGTCACCTGGAAGGCTCTGGGGGTGGGTGGAGGGCAAGAGGAACAATATCTTGTTAACCTTTTTGCTAGGGGCATTCACCCTCTCACTACCACCTCAGGCTGCATTCTCCTCATCCTTGAAGTCCTGAGATCCTCCGCCACCGCCGCACAGAAATAAATATTTTTTTCAAAGCTAGCCAGAACAAAATATAACAGGTAGCTTTAAAAGTCCAGACCTGCTTTAAAAGAATAAACACCAGCTCCACTAAGAAATAACACCCCTGTTGGCTTTTATCACATGAGCTGGACCAGAGAGCCAAGAGTGTGAAGGAGTCAGAACTCAGGTTCTTGTTGAAATCATGCTAAACCCATTAAATATGTAGGAAGGAAAACACCTTCACGTTTTGGACCTGGTTGAAACTATCAGGGACCAGGTTAGGGGTAATTTATGTTCCACACCCTGAGGGCGACAGCTGGGGAGGCTCCGGGTAGACCCCAAATTCACACCTGCCAAAGGCCTGAGTTCACAGAGCCAAGATGGACACTAACAGTCCCTGCCTCCCTTCTGTTGCCTTTCTGGATGTCTAATCTGTACCTCCGGCATCTGGATCAAGAGATAAGCCTCGCCTCACACCTCACCCTGTGGAGGCAGAGAGCAGTACGCTCCAAGCAGAACCCGAAGGGCTCCAGTCCTCCGGAAATTGCTGGGGGCTCCAGACTGCAAGGAGAGACTGCTAAGTTGGAAAGTGCTTATCAATTATTCATGTGACTGGATAAACAGGGATTTTATCTTGTAGCATGAATCAAGAGATAAAAATTCCATTTCAAGGGGGGAGCGGCCTGAAAACTAATCCCTGTATGTTAATTGGAAACTGAAAAGGAAGGAATGGGGGGGGGGCTATAAAGTGCTTTGCCCGGGTCCTGCTTGGAGCGTTTGAGAGAGTGTCTCCACCCTGCCCCAGAATTTTGTTTCTATCATCACCAAGACTCCCAAACCAGGCAGTCCAATGAAAGGGAAACTCTGTCCTCTTCGTCCTGAATTTAATTCAATAACTGATGGGACCCTTCCAGCCATGACCCCCTCCACACCCTGGGAGCTGATAGAGGAAGATGGGTTTGTGGGTAACAATCTCTTCCCTGCAGCATCACATCCCAGGCATTTGTGGTTAAACTTGATGGTCTACTCCAGACTAAAATCCTAAGTGGAAAACAGCTTTCAAACAGCTCCCTAACAAGACTGTGAGCAAAATTAGCAGCAAGCCTAAGACAATGGGTCCTGTCTGCCCCCACGCTCTGTGATCAGAGCCAAACGGTGTCTAACCTGAAATATACTTTGGCCATAAAAGAACGTTTCCCCAGGCCTGACAGCACAATCTTCTCAGGAGGCTGAGGTAGGAGAATCAAAATTTCAAGGATTGCCCGGGCTACCAAGTGAGTTCAAGACCAGCATGAGCTACTTAATAGGCCCTGTTTCAAAATAAGAACTCAGGAGCCTGGAAGGATGGCTTAGCAGTTAAGAGCCCTGGTTGCTCTTCCAGAGGAGCTGGGTTAGATTCCCACATGGTGTCTCATGATCACCTATAACTCCAGTTCCAGGGATCTGACACTCTTTTCTGATCCCTGAGGATACAAGGCAGGCATATGGTGTACATTACATACATATGTCAGACAAAACATTCATACACAAAAAAATACATTTTGAAAAAGCCATTAAAAAGAGCACTGGAGACATAGCTAAGTGGTGATGTGTTCAGGTGTGTGAGGCCCTGGTTTCCATCTCCAGCACCAAAAGTATTGTAAGTGTCTGGTGAGATGGTAACGATGCTTGCCACCAAAGCCTGACCACTGGCAGTGGCTCCCCCAGGACCCACGGGCTGGAAGAAGAAAACAAAACGCCCAATAGTTACGCGCTGGCCTTCGTAGAGACACCACGGCATGTACCCACACCCCAATACACAAAAATAAACACCAAAAAGATGGATAAAGTACATGATTTTATTTTTATTCCTACTCATGGCCTTGCTCCTGACAGTCCCATAAGAACTGAGAAAGTAACCCACAGGACAGGCCGGTACATTGATAGCTTATTTTGATATGAGATTTGGCGGCAGCTTGGAGGTAGGCTACAGTGGGATGCAGAGATCCCTTCGGATAGAGAAAGGTAGACACAGAGGTAGAGAAACACTGAGAAGAGACTCGAATATCCGGGGTCAGACGTGGCTGTACCTGGCTAGTGGGAGTATATGATTGTCAATTTCTTCTTCGTTCTACTTTCTCTGTATTTTTCAAACAGTATATTGGGAGCACTGCTAATTTCATAATGGAAGAGATATAATAAACTTTGTGCTTTTTAGGTAATGTATTAGGAGTCCGTATTGATTTTCCCATGGGAGGATAACAACACACTTCATAACAGGTGGACTTGGCATTACTCCCCCCTCCCACAAAGCAGGAGAACGCTCTCAGTAGCTGTGCCCTTTCTTGGCACCAGCTGGTAGATGGGAAAGGGGGTGGGCAGGGGACTCTGCCTGGAGCAATGGTTCAACAAACGTGTGAAGGACTGAGAATATGAGGCCTGGCCTGTATTCTGAGGTCTAGGCAGAGCAGCATCCAAGGAGAACCTGGAAGGGGCAGGAATTTTCTCTCTGTGGAAACATCTATCCACCTTCTTGGCCCTCCTGCTACTCCTGCAAGGAACCATGGCCTGCCTTTGTAGAAAAATGTCTCTTGAGAACCAGGACTGGGGTTTGTCTCCACGGTTCAGGGGGCTGGTAGTTCAGGGGTGAGTTAATGAATCATGGGATTCAATAATGAATTGTTTCTAACTAGTGAATGTGAGGGGGAAATAGCCACACTATTCGGGTAGCAATTGTGACAGCTACAATGCCAGCCAACACTAACCCACGCACCCCCCACTCATATACCCACCCACCCATGTACCCCCCACTCATCTACCCACCCACCCATGTACCCCCCACTCATCTACCAACCCACCCACGCACCCCCCCCACTCATCTACCCACCCACCCATGAACCCACCACTCACCTACCCACCCACCCATGTACCCACCACTTATCTACCCACCCACCCACGCACCCACTGATGGAAGAGGGTTATCTGTCTATTGTGTTATTTTCATTGGTCAATAAAGAGACTGGCTTGGCCCCTTGATAGGACAGAAAATTAGGTAGGCAGAGTAAACAGAACAAAATGCTGGGAAGAGGGCTATGAGCCAGACGCCATGGAGCCAGCCACCAGGTCAGACATGCTGAATCTTTCCCGGTAAGCCACACCTCGTGGTGTGATACAGATTATTAGAAATGGGTTAATATCAAGATATGAGAGTTAGTCAGTAACTAACTCTCTAGAGATAATGGGCCAGGCAGTGCTTAAATGAATACAATTTGTGTGTTGTTATTTCTGGGGCTAAGCTAGCCGTGCGGGAGCCGGGCAGGATGAAAAGCAGGTCTGCCCGCAGTCCCTCACTACAACCCACCACTCATCTACCCACCCACCCATGTACCCCCCACTCATCTACCCACCCACCCATGTACCCACCACTCATCTACCCACCCACCCATGTACCCACCACTCATCTACCCTCCCTCCCACCCATCCACTCACTTATCCATCTATCCACCCATCCACCTAAACTTCAATTCATCATCCACTCATGCATCCATCCATTTACCCATCCATTGGTTCATCTCTCAAGCCTTAGTCTATCCATCACTCAACTCTCCACCCATCCACCCACACATCTAAGCCCCCATCCATCCATCCATCCACTCTCTTATCCCTCTATCCAGTAATCCATTTATCCATTCATACATATCCACTAAGCTAAGTTCTCGGATGTCACCACTTCCCCACAGCCATACACACAACATCCAGATGAAGCAAAAAGAAAACGCCTAGAACAGATGTAAGGGTTGCTGAGGGAGGTTCCAAAGAGCTCAACGGGCTTCCACATGCTGCCTCCTAAGAATCAGGCAGACAAGAAACCACACAGAATCTGGAAGTGTAGGGGCAGTCTGAGAAACCAGATTTCCAAGTACCAGACGTTTCCCAGCTAAGCAACACTGCACACTAGCCATGTGGTCTCCAGTTCCCTTCCAGGGAGTTTTCAGGTCTGAGAAGGCTGGATTCTACTCTGGTCTGCCCCCGACTCATCCAGAGCAACCCGGGAGGTCACCTGGATATTTATTTGGTTACTAGATAGCTAAGCCGGCCACCATTTCTTTGATCGGACACCTTGATAGGAAACAAAACAAACAGCATTTCTCAGCAAGATTTTGGTCGATCTTATCTTCCTTCAGTGCCTTTAACACGGTCAAGGATGGGAAAGTGGATGTTTGGGAGGGGAGACTCATGGAGGGATCCCTAGTACCCCTGTGTCTGTCAAGGACCCCCAGTACCACACCCTTACAACTACTCCTAAGAAGCTCTGACTCCCTGAATGGTCCCTCTGTGATCACCAACCTAGAAAGCAGAGCTCTGCAGAGCGGTGGTGCCCTGAGAGGCCGCGCACCAGCACCCAGCGGGGCTTCTCTCCCAGACAGCACAGCTACTCTGGATCCTTCAGAGTCTAAGATCTCCTAGAGCTAGAAAAAAGGACAGGAGCTGAGTGTGGTCTCCTTCCTCTGGCAAAGCAGAAGGTTGAGACAAATGCAGCTTTCTGTCCTTTTCTTCATTTTCCTCCCTCCCTCGGTTCCTTCTTCCTCCCTTCCTCCCTCCCTTCCTTTTCTGTCCTCTCCTCTCTCTTCCTTCTTTCCTCTTCCTTTCTTTTGTTTTCCTCCCTTTATTTGTAAAAGTAAAGTCAGCTCGAAGTCAGAGCTGAGTCAAAACTTTAGTCTCTCCTTCCCCTCGCACTTGGGCTTCTCACAATCCCAGGAGACTCTTCTTTCAATACTATGTTGTATGGCTGTTTCCTGGGCTAGACCTGACCCTCGCCATCATGAATCGGAGCAACAGCGGCGAGCACCAGCGTGACACCCTCAGGTCTCCGCATTCCCTAGTGGGTGTGGGGGCAAACTATCCCAATCCCTTCCCTTCCCCAACAATGCACAGGGCTGGGTAGACGCTTTGGTAGGATGGCTGCCCATAGCTGTTCCGGAACACTCTTACAGTTTTAAGTTAGCTGTGTGTGTTGTGGGTGGAACTCTTCAGTGGTGGACATAAGCCACTCAAGGGACTTGATGATGTAGCAATGAGTCATTTGTGTTCCGTAACTCCCATAAGATCCCTTCTTCCCCAAGCTAGAGCTGGTTGGAGGTCTCTCGTTGGTCTGTCGGTAGTCCCCCTTGGAAACAACTGTAACACTCGATTTGCCTATTTTTTTTTTTATTGTTGTTCTGGGTGCACTTGGATGAGTGTGCCGTGGGTTATGGATGGAGGTCAGAGAACACCTTTGTGTGGTCACTTCCCTCCTCCACCTTCACACGGGTTCAAGAGCTAGAATGGAAGTCACTAGTTTGCAGGGCAAACCGCTGTACCAGGGACCCCTCCCACACACCCCTTTTAACTTCATTTTCGCCTTGTTGGAGTGAAGGTTGTATTGTCGCCAAACAGCTAAGTTCCAGGAAATTTACCCGCCCCATCCATGCTTCTGCCTCCACACCTGTGGAGTGAGGAGTGTAGACCCATCGCTTGGGAACCCCGCTTTTTCCAGCTTCCCTTCCTGTCCTGAGTATTGTTCCTTCCACCTCCTGCTACCCGGTGCCTGTGTGGGCCGGGGACAATGGTCCAAACTCAAAACTCATTTTTCTCATGCTGGGGCTGCAGAGATGGCTGCAGCACGGAGCTAACAAGGACTACTGGCTCGTTTGGATGTGAGGGGCACAACAGGTGGTCATTCTGTGTTCTCAGCAATCAACAGCTCCAGTGGAGAAATCAGCCAATACAGTCCTCCTGCCTGCCACCCTCGGCGGGGGCTCCTCCTTTGAACAGCAGCGTGGTGAGTTCTGAAAGATCAAATTATAACTCCACCTGGACAGCCATGCAAAACCCCCTTTCAAAAAAACAACACAGGGAAAAAAAAAAGAACCCACCAATTTTCAAACTTCTATCTACATCCTGGGACTTGCAATGCTTGGATTCAGAAGGCCCAGAGAGGCCAGTCATCCCGTGATGGGCAGATGGCAGAGAACCTGAATCTGCAATGGCAACTTTTACAAATGTATGGACACATACTTGCTACAAATCATCACAGTTATGCAAATTATAAATCATCACCCTGCACGGCTCCTCTCTGGCCCTTAAGCAAACTTCCTGTGACAGGGACAGCTGTCGGCCAGGAGAGGCATGCCCTCATCTGGTGTCAGAAGTCCGCCACAAACATCTTGCTGGGCTCAGTAATCCATAGACACCCAAAGAAATACCACCTTCTGGAAGTAGATCGCTAGCTCCCCTCACACCTCACTGCGGGGAGGGTCACATGGAGGGCTAGGCACTTTGCTTCCTTCTTGCCTCTGGAGAATAGTAATGAGTCCTCGTCTGGGGGTCCTGGGGATGGAGGTGAAGGGATCTTGGGGTTCCTGAGTAACTGAGGAACTCACCCTTTCCTCAAGAAAGAGAAAAGAGGTATCTTGGGTCCCTGATGGGATGTTCAGCCCACTGAAGTGGGGAAGGTGACCCTAAGAGGTTTTCTGAGGGTCAAGCTGACTGCTCCAACAGGTGCCTGGACACAGATGACCTCAGGGACACAGTCTCCCTCCTCTTCCTCCTTTGTTTTTTCGCGACTCCCTCCCACCATCCCTTCTTTGCAAAGCTTCTTCCTCTACCCCTTCCATTCTTAACCTCCTCTTCTCCTCCTCTTCTTCCTCTTCTTCCTCCTCCTCCTCCTCCTCTTCTTCTTCTTCCTCTCTCTCTCTCTCCTCCCCTCTCCATCTCTCCCCCACCCCCTCCCCCTCCTCTCTCCTTTTTTTCCCTCCCCTCTTTACATGTCCCGGTGATGACAGCGCGGGGAGCTGCTCCTTGGGACTGGCACACCAAGCCTGGTGCCCACCTGTGGTTCTATTTCAATGTCCCCAGTGCTCCCTGAGGAGAGGACAGACCAGAACCACTTTCCCCAGGTGCTTCCCTCTCTATAAAATCCTAACTGTCTCACGTCCCCTTCCCAGGTGGCCACAAGGCTTATTTTGCACAGAAGTTGTCTCTTTCAACTTCTTTGCCTGACTTGGCGAGCTCCAGGGACCCGTTTGCAGGCATTCTGCCGTCTTCACAGCTGCTTTGCCTCAGCGCTGCCACCCAAAACCGACTCACTTGAATGAGTCGGGCAGGGTGGTGGCAGGAGTAGGAGGAGTTGGGGTGGGGGAGGAAACCCATCCCAGATGGCTCCAGGCTTTGCCTAATTACAGAAAGTGGTGCAGACTTGGACACTTGCACTGCGGCCCTGCGCTAATAATATCTGGAAGACCTCAAAAGTAGTTTCTGGGGTCCAGGGCTCAAAAAGGCTAAGAACTTTCTGCATCCCTAGGTCCTTGCCCTTCCCAGGAACAGCCTGGCCTGAGTGCACTGGGGCGTGAAGCAAGGCGCTCTGGCTCTGTCGGGAGGCTTCCTTGCCCTGAGTGAGGACTCTTGGGGAGGCGAGGGCCCAGGAGGCAGGGCGCAGGGGAGTCCTGGGAGTGTGAGCTATTGGAGCTGCGGCACTGCTCCGGGGCGGTCTCCACCTCTGCTGGCAAGTTAGACTTCTGAGTGTGCTGCTCAGCAATCCAGGATTCCCAGCCCACTAGCAGGAGCGCAGCCTTGACGAGGGGCACAGGACCCGGCCTGCCCCAGCCCACTGCCGCCTGTGAGCGCCTCATCCTCCAGCCAGCCCTGGACGAAGGGATGCCTGCAGCTATGCGTGCTTCCTGGTACTCTTGGGAGGTAGGTGCCACTCTCCCCATCAACTCACCTTCTAATGTTCCCAAGGGCCCTTGGAGACGGTCACATTGGGCCTGGGTACCTGTCCAGGGCTGCGGCTCTGTGTGCGCTCTTTTTCCAAGCTCACCTGGTGGGCACTTGCAGTGCTCTGATGGAGGAGTTAGGCTACTAGGCAGTGTGTGGATTCTGCCCTTGGAGCCTGATTTCCTGGTACCCAGAGCATCATCCGCTTGTGTTGGGGCTCCAAGAAGGTTCAGGCTATCCTAAGTAAGCGAGTTACCCAGGTAAAGGACAAAGTCCAGGTTACATAGACCAGCCCGTTGGTTAGCCTTGCTCTCCAAGTCCATAAACTGGTAAGGCTGTGTTCTACTGCAAGGTTGGGAAAGAAGACAGGTGGGGATACAGTTTGGCTTCTTGTGAATGATACCCAGCAGACTAACAGTGGGGGGATGGGGCCTCAAGAACCCTTGGTGAAGAAGTAAGCCTTTTTTAGAGCAAATGCCCTCCTAATGGCTTGTGCTAAGGGCTCTACAAATGCCAGCTGTGATATTCCAGGTGCCAACAGTGAATATGAGAATAACTGTCATCGTAAATGTGTCAAACCCAGGACTCACCCCAGGCACAAACTTAGAATTCTGGCCCTGGTCAAACTGTGACTTGGAAGCCCAGATTAACCCTGCATGAAACTGTGTGCCTATCCACTAGGGATCTGGGCCCCAGCTTTCTCCCTCTGAGATGGACATGAAACCCTACCTTTGTCTAGGATTACTATGAAGTACAGAGGGTGAGCCACAGGGTCCCCAGCTTGTTGACAGGCAATGCCTGGCACCCAGAAACTCTACAGTGCACAGGAGTCGGTGCCCCAGGCTCTGCCGTCTGGTGGCAGGACTCCAAGCACACTGAGACCCTGTCATAGGTAGTTTTGGGCACCGTAGCTCTTCAGCACGGCTTTGCTTTCCTAGTCCCAAGTTTCTACACAAGATCTTTTGAGAAAAGATAAAGGAACCTGGAAGGAAATCGAAGGAGGGTGTGCTCGCAATTTGAAGAATTGCAGATGCACGCACCCAAGGTGCATCCATCAGGGTCTGCTTTCTCTGGCTGAGTGAAGATAAGACTTCACATAACTACTTAGCCCTCAGCACTGAACCATCCTTTCATACAACTGACTAGGTCCTCCCTCCTGTTGGCTTGCTAGCGAGTAAGAACAGGAGGTACACCCAGGGGCAGGTGAGGCGGGGAGCTTGCAGTGGCTGCTATGGTGGACACTGCATCTTCTCCACTTCTCTGGCTCTCCCCAGGGCTCTGAACATGCCAGAGCAGGGGACACATTACCCTATCAACCTACAGTCTCAGCTTCATGGGATCGGGGGGTGGGGGGGTGTCTTTGGCAAGCCTTAAGTTCCTTGTCATGCAAATAAAATCACGGAAGTTTAGCACCGAGGCTTGTTGCTTCATTCCTCATGACCCTTCACCACTGCCAGTTCAACTCCACAAGAGAGAAGAGAATATTCCCCAGTAGAACGACCAATGGGGATCTGCTCCACAGCAGGGCAGCCCTTGGGGAGGCCTAAGCCCGGCATTGATTTGATCAAAGTCCACTCTACCATCAGCACCGTCCGCAGATGGCCAGGTCCCTTGAATTCCTGAAAGGGACCAGAACCCAGCTATTCGATCACTTAGCTACACAGCTCAGTCCCTGAGCTCAGCATGTCTGAGTGACATCTCTGAGCCCTGGAGAGTCTGGGTAGCATGGTACACCGACCCTTCTGCTAAGGAAGCTCAGATTGTACACATGATCATATGTGTGTCCACACACACCCAAGGTTTCTCAGCCTCTGCACTGTTGACATTTGAAACAGTTTCTTTGTTGGAGAAAGGGCTGTCCTGTGCCTAGTGACTGCTTGCAGTATTCCAACCTCCCCTAGTCCAACTCATAAAATTCCAGATGGTCTCCTGACTTTGCTAGGTGTCTCCTGAGGGCAAAATAGCCCCTGCTAGGAACCTCTGGTCTGACTAGCTCAACCCAGTCGGGTAGGTTTTCGCAGGAATCACAGGATTGTGTTAGCCTTGCTCTGAGCAATCAGGAAATCAAGGGCACAGCAGGGGCCCAAGAAAAAAACAGCACAGCCTGGGTGGCTTCTAATCGGACGCTGATTTTTCCTCGGTTTGTTCTCTCTTGGTCTACATTTGGAAATGTCTTCCCCAGAGGATAACAGGCTTGAAGCTATGCTACACCCGATGCCAGACACGTGCCAACCCAACCCTCTCGCTGCGGGGACCAGTTCCCTCCACAGCAATTTCTGGCTTTAAAATATCCCCTTATTCAACAATTTATGCTTGAGGTGGGCAGTAAGAAACAACTGCCTCAGAGTTTGGGGGGGGGTTGTTTCACTCTCAGACTTTTTGTGTATGGAGTTATCTAACTTAAGCCTTGCTTTTCTCTAGAGCTGTCTATTTTGTGATGACAGGATACCATTTAGATACAGATTAACCAAGGTAAAAAAAAAAAAAAATACAGCTACTCGCTAAGAGTTCTGACAGAGCACAGTTTCAAAACCCAGACGGCTCTGTCGTGCAAGCTTGGGGTTTTGAGTTCCAACCCCTAGCACGGTGGTGCATGTTTGGCCCCAGCAATAGAGGGGTTGAGACAAGAGGCTCCTTGGGGCCTGTTGGCCTATCTTGCTAAACCAGGGAGCCCTAGGAAGGTAAGAGAACACATCTCAAGAGTAAGATGGAGAGTGATTGAGAAAGATGAATGTCAACCTCTACTTCCACATGGCTGTGCACACGTGTGCACATGCCCCTACATACATACTATGCAGACACAAGCACACACAGATACACACACACACACACACACACACACACACACACACAGGAAAAGCAGTGGAGGAAATTAACTTAAATACACTTCTGCAGAATCCCAAGGGGAATAGAAATTGGTAATTGTGTTAATTATTTAAAACAAAGGAAATTATCAGCAGAGACTTCATTTTGTACTTGGCGAGTCGCAGGCGAATCAACCCGACCAGCTGTTTCACTCATCTTCTGACCGAGGCTGCAATCTTGAAATTCAAAATAACCAGCTCG